GGGGTGGTGCCTCAGGGCTCCGCCTCAGGCCCGCGGAGGCCGCCCCCGCCCGACTGAAGGCCGACTGTGCTCCCTCAGGGTCGGCGGTAACGGGGGAGCAGCGGTGGAGCCTCCATGCCGAACGTGACATCCTCGAAGGGTTCCCGCTTCCACTAATGCTTGGCAGAGCTCTAGCCCCAGGTCCCCTATGAGTTCATCACTGCTGCGTTCTGGTTCGCCCCAGGTAAAACATGAAAGTGCCGTTAGCAATCGGATCTGTTTTCGGTAGGAGGGTGCTCGTGGTGCTGCTGAGGGCTTGAGTCATGGCCCACAGGTGGTAGGTACCCACTTGTTCTGCAAAGGGCTTCAGTCAAGGGCCACAGGTGGTGCCACGAGCATAAGGAACTTCTTGGAATGGTTTCTATTTATAATATAAACATAGGTCAACTAAAAATAAACCCTTCGAGTTTATTATGAGAGAATTTGTCACTTCCTTGTGTTGAAACGCATTCCGTGTCTCACCTTTTGTAGGCATTTAGCCCCAGTCACAAGAACAGCATCATCAGGAGGCAGAGACAGGAACTCAAGCTTTTAATTGCAGAACTGAAAGATCGTGACAGGGAGCTCAATGACATGGTGGCAGTGCATGAGAGACACATCCAGGCCTGGGAAGATGATCGCCAAAGAATACTGACTTTAGCAGAACGATGCAGCTTATTAACTAGTAAGTGTTGTGATGTAAAGAATGAGATCTTGGTCTTGTATGTTCAAGTGCTTCAACCCCTCAATAACAGTTTTACATCATATAAAGAACCATTTCCTACCCTTCAGCCTCAAATTTTATTGTCTTTCTCTGAGATCTAAACTTCCACACTGGTGCTGAAGTGATCTGATCTTGAAGGGGATGTGATGATCAGATAACTCTTTCTCGTCTGAATGTGTAAATTTCTTCTGTGAATTCTTTCAAAAACTATCTGATTAAATAAATGTGAGGAAAGAGAAAAATTCACAACCTGCTGGCGAGTTACAGAGCCTTGTTCTGCTGCACAGCTCGGAACAAACACAAACCACCCAGCAAAACACCTGGTGGCTCTGAACAGTCTCAGTGCAGAGCTCACCACGCAGTTCCTGTTCCATCTGACCTGGATAGCCAGGGAATCCTCCTTCAGAGTGTGCAGCATAAGCATCCATGTCTGAATTGTGTGCTTTTAAAACGCTGGGTTAAGTTATTTCTGAGATTTAAGAAATCGCGTGACAGCCTCTGAGCTGTTTTCTCACATATAACTTTATCTCTTTTTCAGGTGAGCTGAATGAGAGAAATGCAGTTATAAAATCACTGACCAAAAAGTTAAAGTTATTAGAATCCCAGCATAATGACAGTAAGATAACACTTGAAAACACACAAAAGAAATATCAAGAGCTCACTCAGAAAATAACAGATTCATCTGTTCACTGCCAGGCTTTGGAGGTAGGGGTTGAGTAATGGTCTGGTTTTGTAGTCCATGCATTTACAGGATGCCTGTGATGAACTGTAACATTCCAAAACTGATACATGCAGGGTGTTAAGACCCTTGATCACAAGTAAATTGAGGAACAATTTTTACTCCAGTCCTCTTTTCTCCAGTTTGTTCAGGATCCCACATTGGCATTCACAATGTTTAAATAACGTTGTGGACACATTTACTGGGAAAAAATAATAACTTTGAATCACTGAAGTAATAGCTGACACTTACTTCTGTTCACTAGGAGAAAAATCAGAGTCTCCACTGCTCAATTTTGGAACTGTCTGCTAAGACAGACCAGCTGCAAGCGAGGGAACAGGAGCTTCTCAATATGCTTCAGCTGAAGGTAACATCTCTAACATCTGTCAGCTCATGGGCACTAAATGTGGTCAAACTGCAGTGCAGCTGTTGGTGACTGTGCCACAAGGCTTCTGTCACTGGTGATCTCACTCATGGTTAATTCTTAGGCTTATTTGAGAAGGGAAGAGTGGTCAGCAATAAACTGGTTTATTTTCATAAACAAGCTTGTCTCCAAGATTTAATTCGGTGGTTTTCCTCAAAAGCTCAGAAGGAAATCTGTGGATCACTTTAACTACTGCAGAAGGATGTACTGTTGTTTTGTCAAAACCCATCCATGACATAAAAAATAAGAATTCATTGTGTTCCCTATTTCAGGACAAGGCCTTACTTGAAACAACTGATCAGATGAATGAGGTTGCATCTAAATTTAAAACACTGGAGAGTGTGATGCGTACATCAAAGCTGGAGGAATTCAGTCGCAATAGAGAACAGCAAGACCTCAGGCTGACACTGAGCGACGTCGTGTTTCAAATAAATAAGATGAGAGGTGAGTGTTTCTGCTGGGCACCTGATTCAGTGTAGGCCAGCACCATTCCTGTTCACTCTGGGAAATGCTACATTTCATTTTACAGATGTCCTCTCTGAAAAGATGAAAGAAAGCAGCAAGCACCAGGAAGAAATCAGTCACCTGAAACAAGAAAATGGCTGCTTGAGGAGTGAGCTGGTACTGGCAGGTGAGGGTGGCCTTTCATGCCTTGGCTTTCAACAGCTCAGAGACTTCTGGGCAGCAGTTCACTGATGTCTGTGAAGGAGACAGCTTGTTACCTGCCTTCCTTGCAGTTTAATAAAAGTGTATCCCTTGTGTGCCATTCTTTTATGGAAGCAATATCTGGGGCTTCTGCAGGGACACTTTATAAAATCTTGTGAAAGCACAAAGTTCACCAAAGTGATTACAATGGGGAGGAGTAAGTGGCTCGGGGGATTCTCTCCTGAAAATGTTGAGACTCTCTCTTCTCTGTTGCTTTCTTTCAGTGATGGGTTTGGTGTAGGCTGTTTTAATATTCAGCCCTTGGTAAACTACATCTTGCTCTCCATAATAACTCTGGTTTTGGGTGGAAGAACATCTGGTGCTGCAGTGGATAGGAAAGGTCACTGCAAAATTCTTGGGGACAGCCACAGAAACCTTGAAAGATTAAGTGGCCAAAGGCATCCTCTGCTGTGAGATAATTTCTTTCCTATCATTTTTAGTCTGCTATTGCCTTTGCCATATATTGATGCCATGTCTCATTATTTTAAAACCAATAGAACTGAGAATTGTTTTGCTGCACTTCCCTCTATGTGCATGAGTTAGAATTAATTAATTGAATTTCCTTTATGCTTTTCTCTCTTTTCCCCTTTCCATTTTCTCTTTTCCTTTCTGAAAATGTTAAATGAATCAGTCAGTGAAGCACAGTATCACTGATAGTAAAATGAAGCCAGGTGCTGAGGAAAAGTCCAAGGAAAATACTTGATTTTTTTTGCTTTCTTGTGCATTTTGTGCTCTTTTTTTAATCTGGAGGATAAACAGATGACCTTAAGAAAATGCACAGCATTAACAATGCACTTGCTTTGTGTCCATTCACCTGAAGTAATAAAAATAATTATTATCTTTTGAAACAGTGGAGGAAGCACAGAGGAAGGATCAACTTTATCAGTTTACCAAGTCTAAGCAAGCACGGATTGAAAAAGAATTGTCCAGTTTACGACAGGTACAGCCCTGACTGTGTTTCTGCTCTGAGGTTAGAGAAACATTTTCAGTAACATCAGACCTGTGTGGAACAGTGTAATAAAGTTAGATCTAGATATTATTGATTAAGGAAAAAAAAAATCTGTTTGTGCTTTGCTGGGATCCCTGTAGAATTTTGATTTATTTCATTTGGGGTTAAGCTGAAATGCCCATGGTGATTCCAGGTTGGGAAGTCACGTGCAGGGCAGCAGGATTGGGATTGCACACCTGTCCAAGGTGAACTCAGCAGAATAAAGGACACAGTGTCCTGGCAAATCTGGTTTTTGTGACCTGTGTGTTCACCTGCGCTCAGCTGAGGCTCTCAATACATGTTCCATATTTTTAATTGCAAATAATTGGTGGGTAGTTCCCTTCTCCATTAGCCTCACAAAAAATCCCCTGCAGTGAAAGCCAAATCCCATGGTCATCATCCATGTCCTGTAATTCTGTAGCTGTGAACAACATAATAACAACATGCATTAAATATCAGGTAACAGTACTGATATTTTATTTATTGTTCAGTGTGGTTCAATCTTAGAAGAAGAATCTTCTGATAGAAATCCTGTTTATTGCTGCAAAATGTTATTTTCCTAAATGCATGCAGAGAGGTCCTCTTAGATTTGAAGGTGTTTGTCAATAGTTTGACTATAGGCATTGGTTTTTAAAAACATTTTGAGGATGTTTTTGGAAGAAAAGCACTGTGAGCACTATGATGATGTTCCTGCACCCAGACATTCACTGATGTCACTCACTGCCTCTGACAGGTCTGTGTAAAACAGCAGCGGGACTTACACTTCCTTCATGTCAACTTGGATAGCTCTCAGGAGTCCAGGCAAAAGCATGAAAAGGCAGCAAGAAGAAGGAGGTAAAGACACTTTTAATTTATTTTTTTTTTCTTAAATAGTTTGTTTTCAATGAGAAATTTCACTGTTCAGCCCTAACTAACATCCTAACAGGGGTGTGTCTGAGTCAGGATGGCTTTGCTCGACCACAAAAATGCAGTGAAGCTGTCAAGTACCTTGTGTTTTATTTGGTCAGGAGAGAGCACGAACATCAGTCACAGACCAAGTGGTGCAGGCCAGACAGCTCATGATTTTTTTAGAAAGTGAGCTAGTCTGGTGGGAGGGGTGTTAACCTGGCTCCCTACTACTTTTTTAAAAAAGCAAAGTTTATTTTAGGAAGTAAACTTAGAGAATTGGTGCACACCCTGGAGGTTCAGACAGAATCGCCACACTGTATAAAACACGAGGGAGCTCTCAGACTGGTTTTGAAAAGTAACAGCCAAATCTGGGCAGATTTTCTGTGGGGTTTTGGCAGGATACAGCTGCCTGGTGGTGTGTGAGCTGCTGCAGAGCCATGGCAGCAGCTGGTGTTCTGCAGAGCTTTAGGAGTGCACTTGGGGATGCTCTTTACCTGCAGTGTTTCTGACTTGTTTTTGTCGTGCCATTGTAGCACAGGGGCCACATTCTCTGCCTCTGAAGGCCCCAGCGAGACAGACAAGGGTAGGACTGAGGGCAGCCACGGGATGTGCGAGGAGTGTGGAACTGCACCAGTTCCAGCAAGTAGGGTAAAACCCACCCCTGAGATGTGTGAAGTAGATAATAATAGACAGTTACTGAATGCTTCAGACTTGGAGGAAACTACCTCAGCGTTCTTAAACCCGTGTCAAAAAGTTGTGAAAGGCTTGGCCGTCCCTGCGGAAGGAGGAGAAAAGCAGGATGTTGCATCAAGCTTTGATGAGCTAGACAGTGAAAAATTTTGTGAGGCAAGGCCATTGAGAAACAGGGAAATTGGAGAGAAAGGAGTGAAAAGCAGAGACCGAAAAACCTTTGAGGTGTCTTTGCCTTCATATGATCATTGGCTTAACATCAAATCTCGTGTAGATTTGCAAAGCACTATGATCCAGAACAGCACCACGTCTGACCAAACTGATAATGGAAACAAAACCTGGGAAGAGAGATCTGACACTGAGTCAGATAGCAGAGAGACTTCTGTGACTTGCAAGTCTGATTCTGATTCCTGTATTAATAAGTTCATCGTCAATAAACATTGGAAGCCACTATCAGATCTGGAATGGCTGGAGATTTTCAAACCCAAAAAGAGAGATGGAAATATGTGCTGTGGAAAAGATTACAGCTGTTTCAAGACTGCACAAGAGATGAAATGTACCTCCTCAAAAAAGTTATGAGCTTGTTGCTTTTAAGAAATAAGCATAGACTTACATAGAAATTTAGGTGTGTAAGCTCTCAGTATTATCTCAAGCTATGTTGAAAGTAAATGCTGTTTTAAATTTAGTCTATTAAGCTGAAAAGTAACAATTTAAAATAAAAATAGCTCTTAAAGTATCATGATTCTATTTTTATGCATTTTTTTTTTCTCCTCTCTTATCCCCAAGAGTTGTGTGGGCAGGAGAAGCTGCCATACCATATAACTTAGCCAAATAAACTAGTTGGGAAAATCCTATGGGTTTTTGAAATCTCAGGTGTTTCTTGTAACTCTGACGGATCAAATACGTTCTGACCAGAGCTGGACTTATACAGTGATGTGAGGCAAGAAACAGATCCAGGTTTTGTGTGATGCTTTAGTGACTGTGTTATTTCAATTGAGAAATCACACCTTGGCTGGGCAAGAATGTAGGACACAGCTCTGAGCACAGGCTGCTGCCTCTGTCAGGGCAAGAAATGAGATGGCAAGATATAAAGGACAGCAATCTGTCCACTCTCCAGTTCGTGGGACTCTATCCTTCTGCTTGTGCTGTGGGAGGAAAAGGACATGTGGTTGGGGACAAGCAGGATGAGGTTTCTAGTGCTGAAAAGTGTCACAAGAAGGCTCAGGTGCCCCAGTGATGTTGAAATGTGTCTGAGATAAAAACCTGCTCTGCATTTACAGAAGTGGCTTTGTGCCTGCATAAGCAAAGACATTCAGAGCTGGACTTGCTGTGGATTTGTTCTATTTCCTTTCAAAAAACAGATTTACCAGCTCTATTTTAGAAGGATTTCTGAAGTTTCACAGCAATTTCATAGCTGCTTTTTAGCCAGAGGAGAGGAGCCTTCCAGCTGGTGGTTTGACAAGCACAGTAAATGAACAGCTGTTTAAACCTGCTCACAGTGTTTGCCAGCAAGCCTGCCCAGCATCCAAACAGATTCATGTTATGGAATGGAAAGATCTGATGTATGGATGCTTTCATTCTGTGTGGCTTTTGAAACAGAAATATTGTAGAAACGGTTGCTGCAGTGAGACAGACCTCTTCAGAAACAAGGTGAATGGGCAGCCACTGAAAGAGAACGCTGGTCTGGCACATTCCCACGTGCTTTAGCTGAGCTTCACACGCCGTGTGGGCTCTCTCTAGCTTCCACTGCCTATAAATCACTGAAAAGTCTCCACTCCCCTTCTGTGTAGCCTGGCCTTTCTTATCAACTCCCCCAGCAGCACCAATGACACACTGCCATCCCTCCAAATCCCTTTTGAGGCTGGATCACGAAAGCTGCTTTCACTTTTTGTCTTGCCCTATTTGTCTTGTCCTTGAGTGAATTTGAAGGGAAAAGGAACAAATTCAACCTGGGCAGTGCAGCTAGAACAGATCTCCACTTAGGGGGGGGCTGTGCTATCCATTTGGGATTTGCTGCTGAGCTCTCCAGTTTTCTTGATGCCCACATTTGGTCCTGGGGCCCTGCTAATTGGAGATGGATTGACTCAGTGCAAATCCCTGACTGTCTGCTCCTCTCCAGCCTCTGCTGACTCGGATTTGCCAGGCAATAAATCCTCATCCGTAAATGGGAGGAAGGCAGGAGCAGTGCTTCTGTGAAGGGATTAATGGCAGAGACCAAACACAACATTCCTCCTCCTTGAATCTGGATCCTCCAGTTTTCCATTGCTGCTTTCAGAGTGCTGATGATGTAGTTTGTGTTTAGGGAAGGGTGCTGGCACCTCCCTGTCAGCCCAGCAAATATTTTTGCCATGAGTTCCTGAGTTCTGGAACAGCCAACAAGGAGGCTGTTAACAGTCAAATACCTTCCCCAATGGCAGAGGGGATTGTGAAATCCCAGAGTGCAGGAAGCATTTCTGTGTGCTCTGACTTGGTGAGTTCATTTATGTTGAGCCAACGTTTTGCTGCCTTTGGATTTTTATCTCAATTCTCATTTTACAGATGGAGCATCAGCAGGTACTTGTTGATTCTGCGTGGGCTGGACTAAGCCACTCATTCCTGAGCCATTTCCCTGCCTCAAAATCAAACCTGTGTGTTTTCCAGGACAGGCCCTGCTCATCTCATCTCCTCACACCCCTGTTCCAGGCACCTTGTTCCCTCACATCTCCACAGAACCTTTCCTTGTCAGAAACACAGACATGAGCTTTTCCTCTCTTAAAAGAGAGCTTGTTTTATCCCAGTGTTTTATGGGAGAACTGAAATGGGACACAGCAGACACTCATGAGCTGGCGACTCTCATGAGGGCTTTTTCCTAGATTGAATGTCAGTTAAAAATTTTTAACCTATTTTTAACAGTCTTGCCAAGCATGGAATGCATTGTCACACCAAAATAAGTATCTAAAGAATATCTAATGAAATGTCATAAATTCAAATTGCTTTAAAATACACATAATTTTTTATTATTTGCCAGTCCAGGCAGGGCTAGCACTCTGCTTCTGTTCTGTTCAGAAGCTGATGAATGTGGTTTGCTCCTGTATTTAAAAACAAACAAACCCAAGCCTCTTTGGGAAAGCTTTCCTGTGATCTCTGAATTGAGAGAATGACTGTAAAACACAGTGAAATTCACTTGAATGGTACATCTACAAATATTAATTTGCCTCAAGGTTGATTAGAACCAAAAAGGGATTTGGGTGTGAGAGGGGAGCAAGTAGCAGAATATTGGGAAGAACAAAATATTGCCTTTTGTGTGCTCTTTTGCAAGGTTAAATACACACTCAAGCACATGGTCATGGAGCTGGTTGAGACTGGTTGAATGTCAAACCCTTGTCCTCAGAGGATGAAACTGATCTAGGGAAGCTGTTAAACACGGGAATGCTCTGAGGAACAGGCTAATCTCCCAAGCTTCTTGGTTTCCTTGGCTCAGGGCCCACAGTTATTTATGTTGTGCCACAATTTTCCCTTGAAAAGTTTAAAAAAAAGATGGTGATGCTCTTTCTGCCTATGTCTTAATTTTTTTTTTTAACAGTGAAGGACACATGGATCTGAATTCCCTCCGCTTGGATTCTCCTCTCTTGACATCCACTCAGAAGAGCAATGTGACTCAAAGTTCTGGGAAATTCTCTGATGAAGACTCTCCTCTGGACATCAGTGACTTGGCAGTAACTAAACCAACAAACAGATACTACATGAACACAGTCAGTATCTTATTGCACAATGTCCTTGACTGATTTTAAGGGAAATTATGGGGAATTATGACTGATGGTAGGAATTCAAATGTCTCCTGGCATGGAAGAACTGGGGACTTAAATGATGAGACAGCAGGCTTATGGCAAAGATGATAACATTTTTTATTTTTTGTTAAATAACTTTTTGTTGCCTCAGTATATCTTGGACAGCATAAGTATAAATGAGTTTTTAAAAAATAAATAATATTTTGGAATGAAAAGCTTAAGGAAAATAGATGCTGGCTAATTGGTAATTATATATCTGAGCACACGTGGATGCAGTTATCAGAAGCTATTGGACATTGTTTCTTTCCTTTTCTACTTGGTCTTCCCTCTTTCTCATGTCTATTCTCCCCTTTTTCCCTGAAGTACCTCTCTTGTGAGTGCTCCATATACCTGCATGTGGAAATCTGCTAGAAATGGCACTGTTTATCAGAAACACCAGCAGTTAGAGAGTCTGTTACTTTGCAAACATTTCAAACTCAAAATGCTGATTCTTGGTGCATTGTAATTCTTTGAAATCCTCCAAAAGAAGATCCTTCCATAACTTTGGCTCCCTCTCTGTGTCCTGCAGGACACCAGTTCCCTGTTCTGGAAGCTGGAGCGCTCCTTGGCCCAGTCCCGACAGATGCTTGCTGATCTGGAGCTCAGCCTTCTCCACACAAGCCCTTCCTGCATCCCCAACACCAAAAACATGAATAAGGTACAGATTGCTCTCCCAGGACAGGGTGAGGTGTTCAGGAATACTGTTTGGGAATGTCCTTTCCCTTATCCTTGGCTTGAACTGCATTAGCAAAGCATGAGGAGGATATTGGTTATGAAGAGACCATTCCTGCATGCCTCAGTGCTTTAATTTTTTATGGGATTCTGTTTGACTGCTCAAGGTCATGACAGGATTTGACTCCTGCATGTGTCTGAACAGATGGAAGGCAGAAGTCATTTTGGGGCGAGCTGCAGGAGGTCTAACAAAAAATGAACACTGGTTCTTTCTCACTTGAATCAAATGAGATGATTTCTCAGGCTCAGCACACACTCACTGCTCTGCTGTCCCACAGACTCGCAGTCAGAACTGGTTTATTATTATATTCATGGGCAGGAGGGCAGTATGGGGAATAGGTAGTATATAGGATACTTTTGGTGTGAATTTAAACCAGAAGCTCAGTTTAAATAAATCCAGAGTTCTTGTGGGTTAGTAGTTTTAGCTCCTTCATTGCAGGGTCAGAGAATATATTCAATGGTCAAAGAAAAGAACCTGTATGTAGCTGTCATAGCAGTTTATTTTATGAGCACAAGTGCTGATAAAGTTCCTGTTGAATACTTGGGCAGTAGAAGTAACCAGAGAAAGGGTCACTTGTTTGGTGAATAAATATCCATAAGAACTTCCACCTTGTTTGACAAGGACATTGTACCTTTTGTCCCAGAAATGAGCACACTTGTGCCGGTGTGTATCCCAAAGGGAGGATTTAGGCTCCTGGTTTCAGAGCAGTGCTGAACCCTCATCTTCATCCTCACACGTATCACCTCCCTCTAAAAAGTTGCACTCCTTTTAGCCTTAGATGAACTTGACCAGAACAACGTTGCTGTAAGGAACAGACAAAGCCATTTTTATAACATTCAGAACCATAAACCCTTCGCTGTGCTGGGCCTGAGTGTAAATGTTGTGTGCCAGCGTTTGCATAAACTGAAAGGATATTTTGTTCAGAAGCTCCTCTGCAGGATTTCATTCAGTGGCAAAGACAGCAGCAGTTTAGTCTTTTGCAAGGACTCCTGAGTAGGAGGATTCCTGAAAAGCTCCCTGCACACAGTGCTTGCTTGTGGCTCTTGCCCAGCCCCATCAGCTGTCTGGCTCCTACTCACTGCTTGGCACGTCACAGCTCGGCTTCTCCGGCTGCCCGTGACTCTGCTTTAGAAGCTGATGCTGCATTTTTGAGCTTGGAAATTGGCTTTTCCTTCAGCACGGGTGCTTTGGTGGATA